ACTTAACCATATATCTTTTAATACTGGGAACATAACAGGCATAAATCAGAGGGTATAGTGGACACTACAATGCCCCAAGGGGGCAGGATTCAACAAAGGTTAGACACTTACAATCATTGACAAAACAGGGTTAACAAAATATCAAACAAACAGCAGAACAAACACTATGGGTTGGTGAAATATAAAAAAGGCGCAAAATGTCAAATGACAAGGAAATAAAGGGCCTTGGTACCTGGAGGGGGAGAAAGGGGGGGAAAACATAATGCAAGAAGACTTGCTTCTTGTTATCTCACTCACCCCAAGTCACCTCAGCTGGGACTTGAACACAGATCACCCATGTGGTAGGCAGGAACACTGCCACACAGCCACCACTGGTAACACTACTCCAGCCTGCTAGGGGTCTTGACCTTTCCGGAGCCCTGGCCTCATGTTGAGTTGCCTGACCTCTGATTGGAGGAGCTGGAAGCAGAGCTGGGAACCTCTCAGGTCGCTGCTCAGATCCTGGCTGGAGTGGAGGAGCCTCTCCTTGTGGCTGCAGCCTCTCCTCAGGGATCCTGGAGCCCAGTGGGGAGCCTCTCCTGCCAGCTGCACACTGCGCTGCTGAAGTCCCACTGCTGCCTGCAGGTCCTGCTCTTTCAGGGCACTGCTCCTGCCCCACTGGCTCAGCTCTTGCCAGGTCTGTGAAGCTTCTTCCTTGTTGTCCCTCGCTGGTCTGTCCCCAGAGTCAGCCCACGCTGCCCCTTTTATCCCCCTCCAGGTGACCCAAGCGGCCAATCAGGACACGGGGGGTGAGTCTCGGGGGCCTGATTGGCGCAGAAAGGGAATCCCAAGTCCTGCAATCATCTTTTACCCCTTCAAAACCCCTGGGCTAGGTCACTGCCAACTAGCCCGTCACATGTACTATTCTTTTTTTGAAATAAAGTATTTTTTACTTGTTAAAAATGTCTCTACAAGCCATTGGTAAATCTCTATTTTGTCTATATATGTTCCCTCACTTGGGAGTGAGAAAGGGTAAAACAACTAAAGGTACATGCAAAAATCACCTACATACTTTACCTTAAATAGTAAATCAGTCAGAGGTTTTTATAACATGATGTGAAATCTTGTTGAGATTATATTCACTAGAAGTTGAGATACCTTCAGTAGATCCAGTAAAATCATAGAATCATAGAAAATTAGGGTTGGAAGGGACATCAGGAGATAATCTAGTCCAAAAGCAGAACCATCCCCAACTAGATCATCCCAGCCAAAGCATTGTAGCCAAATTTTGAAAACCTCCAAGGATGGAACTTCTACCACCTCTCTGGGTAACCTGTTTTACTACCCTCTCAGTGAGAAAATTCTTCCTAATATCTAACCTAAACTTCCCTTGCTACAACTTGAGACCATTGCTCCTTGTTCTGTCATCTAGCAGCACTGAGAACAGTATAGTGCCATCCTCTTTCAAACCCCCTTTCAGGTAGTTGAAGGCTGCTATTAAGTCCCCTCTCAGTCTCCTCTTCTCTAGACTAAATAAGCCCAGTTCCCTCAGTCTTTCCTCATAAGTAATGTTCCCCAGCCCCCTCAACATTTTTGTCACCCTCTGCTGGACACTCTCCAATTTTTGCATACCCTTTCTGTAGTGGGGGGCCCAAAATTGAACAAAGTACTCCAGATGTGGCCTCACTAGTGCTAAATAGAGGATAATAATCACTTCCCTTGACCTGTTGGCAGCACTCCAATGTAGCCCAGTATGCCGTTAGTCATCTTGGCAACAAGGGCACACTGCTGGCTCATATTCAGCTTATTGTCCACTGTGACCCCCCAGGTCCTTTTCTTCAGTGCTGCTGCCCGGCCAGTTACCCCCAGCCTGTACTGGTGCATGGGATTGTTCCATCCTAAGTGCACGACTTTACACTTGTCCTTGTTGAAGCACATGAGACTTCTTTTGGCCCAATCCTCCAATTTGTCCAAGTCACTCTGAATCCTAGCCATACATTCCAGTGTATCTACCACTTTGTCCAGCTTTGTGTAATATGTAAACTTGCTGAGGGCATGCTCTATGCCATCTTCCAGGTCATTGATGAAGACACTAAACAAAACGGGCACCAGGACTGACCTCTGGGGCACTCCACTTGATACTGGCTACCAACTAGACATTAAGCCATTGATTACTACTCTCTGAGCCCAATACTCCAGCCAGTTTTCTGTCCACCTTACAGTCCACTCATCCAGCCCATTAGCTTGCCTGGGAGACTGTTGTGGGAGACCGTATCAAAAGCATTGCTAAAATGAAGGTACACCACATCCACCAGTCTCCCCACATCCACAGAACCAGTCACTTTGTCATAGAAGGCAATCAAGTTGGCCAGGCATGACTTGTCCTTGCTGAATCCATGGTGACTGTTCCTAATCACCTTTTTTCTCTTCCAAGTGCTTAGAAATGGATTCCTTGAGGATCTGCTCCCTGATTGTTTGCAGGGACTGAGGTGATGCTGACTGATCTGTAGTTCCCTGGATCCTCCTTTTTCCCTTTCTTAAATATGGGCACTATGTTTGCCCTTGTCCAATCATCCAGGACCTCTCCTGGGCACTATAAGTTTTCAATGCTGATGGCCAATTGATCTGCAATCACATCAGCCAACTCCCTCAGCACCCTCAGGTGCATCCCATCTGACCCCATGGACTTTTACACTTCCAGCTTTTCTAAGCAGTCCCTAACCTGTTCTTTCATCATTGAGGGCTGCTCACCTTCTCCCCAAACTGTATTGCCCAGTGGAATAGTCTGGGAGCTGACCTTGCCTGTGAAGATTGAGGCAAAAAAGGCAGTGAGCACTTCAGCCTTTTCTTCATTCTCGTTACAAGTTTGCCTCCCCCATTCAATAAGGGACCCACACTTTCCCTGATCCTCCTATTGCTACCAATATATGTGTAGAAACCCTTCTTGTTGCCCTTCACGTCGCTTGCTAGCTGCAACTCCAATTGCGCTTTGGCCTTCCTGACTTCATCCCTGCATGCCCAAGCAGTGCTCTTACAT